TTTTTCCGTTTTTTTCAATTACTTGCTTGAATTATTGACATATGACATGCATTAAATTTAATGACTAATATTTAATTTATCAAAGTAATTTCTTAATCATAATTTATATGATAAATACATTATATGTTAGGAAAAATAATTTATCTCCCTTCTTGTTTATCTCTCACACAGGATATTTATCTTTCTTTCTCATTTTAAGTTAATTTTTTTAATTGTATTTTTATTTTTTAACTTTCTCTTTAACATTTATTAAATTTTAACTATCCAGGCAGGAACATAGGTCATTTTTTTAAAAATAAATAAATAAATTATATTAATATAAAATTAGAAAATAATTGAACTTATTTTAATTTGATGTAGAGTATTTAATTACTCTAATTTTATGCTTTTTTTGTGTGTGGTACTCTATTTTACATTTGTTGGTGTCAATTAATATGCTCCTCTTTTAGTTATGGATGTAGGTCAATATGACTGAATCACGTTAAATCTGAAACATTAAGGTGAAATTTGAATATGTGTTAAACCATTGAACCAACTCTAATTTTGTGTTCAAGAGATTTTATATATATCCTACCTCTATTTTACTTAATCGATGTACAATTATAAAGGAAATAAACTACACACTGCCCATTCATCTTTTCTCTTCTCAATTGAACAATGCAACCAAAAAAAATTCATTCAAGTGAGATTCTAATAAAAGAAAGAAAAAAATAATACAAGGAAATAAACATAATTTAGAATCTAAATTAATATAACATAACTTCTATCATCTTGAGAAATAAGAAAAAATCTTTGTATTATTTTTTTCCCTTACAAAAATCTAAAAGGGAAATTAAACTATTTCTCTTATTAACTGTGATGCATGGGATACTTGATAACAAATGTGGACAGTTTCACATGCTCCATGGGGAGCAAGGCTGAATTCAAGATTGAGCTCATAATGAAGATTCTCATCAATTTTATTAGGAAATTCTAGGTTATCCTCATTTGATGTCAAAAATTTAAGTTTGGTATTAGGGCCGTGATACATGCTTGTCGTATTATCATATGCTCCTGCTTCTTCTTTCGTATTAAGGATTCCAAGCAAGATACGTACCTTTTTGACAGTATTTGTAATATCAGCTTCGTACTTCCCCTTTTGCCTCTTTCTCACACCCATATATCGGACCTCAATTAGGGTTACAACTGTCGTCAAATTGACTATCCCGACATACATGGAAACCAAATCTTTTAAGAGAGTTAAACAATGAAATCTAAAATCACGATAAAACTTCGGTTAGAAAATGTGATAGCTCCAAAATAAATATTTAATGGCTAATAGTTTTACAATAAGTTAGTCAATCAACTAATTAAGACTATATATGTAATTTTTATGAGTTGTGTAATGAAAACATAATAGTTTGTCAAGACCTTGATAGGAAACCACTTTGTTGTGGTTCAAATACTGATATAAATATTCATGAACGTATAAAAATTCATTATACAATGAACAAGACATAATTAAGTTTTCTGTATTTCTTTGTTCTTCTAAAAAACAAAAATGGAAAGGAGATTGTTTCTTCAAATAACTGCAATCGATACTTGATGTGCTATACAGTTTCATTCACTCCTTGACAGAGCGATGGTGAGTTCAAGATTGAGCTCCTCATTTTCTAGGTTATTCTCATTTGATTTCGGAAAATTGAGTTTGGTTTAGGGCCGCGATACATCCTTGCCGCCTTATCATAAGTTTTTGTAGCTTTTTCTTTTGTGTCAAAGGTCCCAAGTCAGATATGTACCTTTTGGTTTGTAATTATAGCTCCGTACTGCCCAGTTGGCCTCTTCCTCACACCCTTATATTGATCCTCAGTTGGGGTTACTGCAACTACAGTGCAATTTTCTCTCTCTGCCATCTAAAAATATAAAAGGAATTTAATCTAAAATTATAGAAGGAATATTTTGTGTATAAAGAAGACTTAGTGAGTGAAAATGAAAGAGGGAGACTGATTTATATAGTCGTTTCTCAGAAGGATGTTTTCGTAAAATACATTATACATATAAGTAGCTTGAAAATGAATAAAATTTGACTTTTCTAAACAAAATAGTAGAAATAATAAATCTCATTTCAAGTTCATTATTCGTTAGGCTACCTTTATATATTTTGAGGTGACATTTTAAAATTTATTTGCCAATTAAAAAATAGGTAAGTAAGTATTAAATTTACTTATTTTCCAAAATAAACAAAAATAAAATTCATCCTTTGAACTAAAAACACTCTTAGTTAAGCAATATTTTTATATTTTATTCTGATAGGTGTGAATGATCATATATTCACGTATACTTTTTTTTATCTTTTAGTACATAATTGACATTATAGAATTGCATGTTTTATTATCTTTTTCTATTTTTCCAACCAGACATGCCCCACCCATCCTCAACAAGTAAAGGGAAGTAAATATCCTTATTTTTATTGCTATTTGTCCTCCGTATTTTATAAAAAAATGTTTACTCAAGTCAATAAAATAAGGAGATCCAAAAAACAGTTTCAAAGATTTTTAGTTATGGCAATAACATATATAGAAGGCAATTACTTATATCCCCTCAAGTGTCTATCAAATTAATCTTATCCCAACATATAGGTAAACCAATTTTTTTAAGAGAGTTAAATAATGAAACCTTCAAATCACGATAAAACTTTTGTTAGAAAATGTGATATCTCCAAAATTTATATTCAATGGCTAATATATTTTTACATTTGTCAATCAACTTATTAAGACTATATATGTACTTTTATAAGTTGTGCAATGAAAACTTTGCAGCTTGTCGATACCAATTGATAGGAAATTACTTTGTCGTTGTTCGAGTAGTGATGGAATAATAGTTAGAATAAATTGAATTGGAAAAAAATAACTAAAAGGGATGTACCATTGTAGTAGTACTTCTAAATAATAGTGCAACGCTAGTAATCTGGTACTGATATGAATAATCATGAAATATAGAAAAAATTCATTATGTAATAGATAATATGTTATAAATTGAATACAATCAAAACAAAATTTACTTTCAAGAGTCTTTACCTATAAACCTTCAAAATTTCAAGAATATTATCATTAATTAACATAGCGTGTTAATTAATATCATTAATTAACATAGCGTTGACATCACCACCACAACCACCACCATCGGAGTATCTACCACCTCCGCCGCCGTCCCTTTCACTTTCGGTACAATTCCTATTAACGTGACCAAACTCGTCACACTGAAAACAACCGCTTCCTCCACCACCTCTTCCACCGCCGTAACTGCTGCCTCTAATGTATCCACCTCTATAGCCACTGTCTACACCACTGTATCCATGGCTATCACTTTGGCCACCACCATAACCACCATCTCGGCCACCTCCACCACCGCGGTCACCAGATCCTCAACATACAATTGCTCCATCAGGCCCCGTGACATCAACAACCTTGATACGACTATCAATGTTGGACTCAATCTCGTATTTGACAGCCTTACCATCAGTCAGGCAATGAAAACTTCCAGATCTGATTTCGGATTAATGAACAACGAGATTGTTAGAGCCATCATCACTGAATTGTTAACGATGGCTCTAATGATCTCTTTGTTCATCAATCCGGTATAGATCTGAATGTTTTCATAGCCTGACTGATGGTGAGGCTGTTGAGTACGAGATTGACTCCGGAAATGATGGTTGTACCAAGGTTGTTGATGTTCCTGGCCTAATAGAGCACCAATCTCTTGAGGATCTGGTGGCAGCAGTGGCGGAGGTGGTGGCTATGGTGGTGGCCAAGATGTTATCTGTGGATACAATGATATAGACAGTGGCTATGGAGGTGGATACGGTGGAGGCGGCGGTTACGATGGCGGAAAAGGTGGTGGAGGAAGAAGTGAGTGTTTTTAGTGTAGCGAATTTGGCCACTTTGCTAGGGAGCGTACCCAAAGTGGAGGTGAGGGCGGCGGTGGTGGACGTTGTGGTGGTGGCCATGCTATATTAATTTATATTTAGAGAAGATTCAGTGAGTGAGAAAAAGAAGAGAAAGAGTGATTTATATAGCTGTTTCTCAAAGGGATACATTTAATTTGGTCAACTAATTATTAAATACATTTGAAAATAAATAAATATTGAATTATTGACTAACAATATATATAGTCAATACTTTTACTAGTTTGCTAAAAACTAAGATTACATAAATTTTGACTAGGAAAATTCTCTTAAGGTCTACTAAGTTTACTTATCAAAAGAAATATTTTCATTAATCATAAGTTCATAATCAGTCAACAATACTCAAAGGTAAGTGAATCACTAAAAATGAAAATTTATTAGTTTAGTTACAGCTTAAAATTCAATAAATATTCTCTTTAATATTTATTGAATTTTAAATACCTAGGATCGTGGGTCCTTTTTCAAAAAGAAATAAATGATATTGATATAAATTTTTTAAAAAATTGGACTTATTTAAATTTGATATAGAGTATTTAATTAATCTAATTTTATTCTTTTTTGTGTGTGTGGTACTTTTTTTGTATTTGTCAGTTGATATGCTCCTCTTTTAGTTATAGATGTAGGTCAAGGTGACTGAATCACGTTAAATTTGAAATATTAATGTAGATTTTGAATATACTAAACCACTGAACCAACTAGTCTTATGTTCAAGGGATTATATCCAACCTCCAATTTACCTGATCAATACACAATTAAGGAAAACTAATTACACACGACACTCTCATCTTTTGGCTCCCCGATCGAACAATGGAACTAGATAAAAAATTATCCAATTGAAATTCTTATAAAAGATAGAAAAATAATACAACGAAGAGACATAATTAAAATTTTAAATTTATACAACATTACTTCTATCATCAGGAGATATATGAGAAATAAGAACATATATATATGTATTACTCCTTGTTTTTCCTTACAAAAAATCAAAAAGGAAAATTAAACTATTTCTTTTAATAAATGTAATGCATGCGATACTTGATAACAAATGCGGATAATTTCACTCGCTCTCTGGCGGAGCAAGTATGAGTTCAAGATTGAGCTCATGATGGAGATTCTTGTTATTTATATTAGGATTTTCTAGGTTATCCTCATTTGATGTCGGAAATTTAGGTTTATCTTTAGGGTAGTAGTAATACATCCTCGTTGCCTTTTGAAATGTCTTTGTTGCTTCTTCTTTCATGTCATATGTCCCAAGCCAGACACGTACCTTCTGGATGGGGTTTGCAATATCATCTTCGTACTTCCCCCGTGGCTTCTCCCTAACAACCTTATATCGAACCCCAGTTGGGGTTACAACCACTGTCACTGTAGCTACAAAGTCATTTTCTAGGTTATCCTCATTTGATATCGGGAAATTAAGTTTGGCTTTATCGCCGTGATACATTCTAGTTGCCTTATCATAAGCCCTTGCGGCTTCTTCTTGTGTATCAAAGGTTCCAAGCTAGACACATACTTTCTAGTTTGTAATATCAGCTTCATACTTTCCCTGTGGCCTCTTCCTCACACCCTTATATCGAACCTCAGTTGGGGGTTATAACCACCGTCACTATAGCTACAATGAATTTTCTCTCTTTGCCATCTGAAAATATAGAAGGAATTTAATCTGAAAACATAGAAGAAATATTTTGTATACAAAAAAGATTGAGTGGGTGAAAAAGATGATGAAGACTGATTTATAGTTGTTTCTCAAGGGATACATTTGGTCTAGTAATGAATTTTACATGGCATTTGACTTGTTTTTAGTAAAATACATTAAACATCTAAGTTGCTTGAAAATGAAAAAAATTGACTCTTCAATGTCACGACCCATACCGTCGTGATTGGTACACACACTAACACTCCAGTGGGAGAACCACTACTACAACCCAAAACCAAGCAACTAATCTAAAACTAAGGCATTTAAGTATAAGAAAATAGAAATAATAGCTAAAAACTGAAGTTCCGATAAACTTCAACAAAAGATCTAACAACTAACAATGTGGAAGAAATAACCTAGAACCTGAAAGTCAATGTACCAAAACATTCTAACAATGAACTAAGTCTAAAACAAGAAGGGATGCAACCCCATACTAATGAACTAACTAAAACAAATGTCTAAGTCCGAAAATGGTGGACATAGACGAAAGAGAATTCCATGGCAGCCCGGAAGAATTGGCTCACTCTTGAATTCGAAGCGACGATCACTAATCTTCTAAGCGAGGTCTGTCAGTAGCCGCTTGAAGATGCCCTGTACTCAGCAAAAATAAGAGCAAGTGCAGTATTAGTACACAACCACAGTGTACTGGTAGGATCAACGGTTATCCCACTAGTGTAACATAAACAAGTCAAGACAACAATATAATCACATGCATATATATCAACATATACAATATTATCAACATTTACGAACAACGATCAATTTCACATTTTTATATCTGGTCCACTCATGGAACCCAAGCCCAACAATTAACATGTCGAAATGTGGCAACCGATCCCATTTTTATACCGGAACGTGGCAACCGATCCAAGTTAGTTATGTCGGAACGTGGCAACCGATCCCATTCACACACCACTATCACAATCACAAGTATATTATCAAGATCATATATTTAAGTCATGATTTCATTGCATTCATCAATTATCTATCTCATTTACAACAAGTGTGATCAACATTGCAACATTCATACATATACAAGTATCATAATGAAGCAAGAACAAACATACATCACACAATCATAGAATCACAACCATCACCTACCTCGAAACAAGCTTGAAACCCTAAGAAACTTGATCTTCCCCTTTTCGGATTCGTTCCGCTTGTTCTTGGTGTACAAACAATCATAATAACCCGGGAATCAACAAACAATCGCTAATTACTCGAAACTATAACAATTCTATGAACCCTAAATCAAACCCATGATCCCAATTATCCAATTAGGGTTGTTTCCACCATAGAATCTATAACAAAATCCTCCCCCATCAATATTCACCCATTCTATTACGTTCTATAGATAGAAATATGGATTTGGTGAGTGAAAAGCTTACTTTAGCCTCAAGAATGGTGAAAAACGAGTAGAAGTTGCCTGGGGTTCGTTCCTTAGCTCTAAAAATTGAAAAGTGCCAGATAAGGTCGTTTAGGGGTTTATTAACGATTTTATTTCGCGTCGGGCCCGCTACAACGGCCACCACCCCGCTACAGCGGCAATAATCCCCGCCAAAGCGGCCAAAACGAAATAGAGAGCTATTTCAAGAATTTCCCATTTCACAACACACCTTTAACCCACGATGCTCAGTAAATATCCTTTACGCTAAGATCGATTCCGGGAGTTCTACTCGCCCGAATTCAATTCCGTAAAGTCGTACGAATTTCTTAACAAGTTATCTAACTACTCATGTAATCAAAATCATAAATGATTTAACCGATTGTTACCAGATTTCCCTACACCTCAAAGACTCTGATTTCGTCCAAATCTGGACAAGGTTGGGAAAATTTTAAATACTACAACAAAGTTTTCCGGTCCCAAATTTTCTCCCGTTGGCTTTTCTATAAAGACGGAAACAGGTCGTTACATCTAAACAAAATAGTAGAAATAATAAATCGCATTCTAAATTTATTATTCGTTAGGCTACCTGTAAATATTTAAATTAACTTTTTTTCTAAAGCAAACAAAATAATTCATCCCTTTGAACAAAATATACTCTTAGTTAATTAAATTTTTAATGTTTTATTCTGATAGGTGTGAATGATATATTCAAACTTAATTTTTCTCTTAACATATGACTTGACATTATAAAATTGCATTTTTATTCATATCTTTTGCTATTTTCCTAATGGACCATACCCCACCCGCCTTCATCAAATAAAGGAAAAATATATATAATTTTTTCCTTCTTGTTTTTTTAAATATTTACTCAAGCCAATAAAATAAGGAGATAAAAAAAAAGTTTTAAAGAGTTTTTTGGGGAAACACCAATCCATTTACAATTATTGAATTTCATTTGCATTTTGTATTTGATAGGTTGAAACTAAATAAGGTTTTGTAAAACAAAAAAAGAAGAAGAAGAAAAACAGGTTTTGTCAAATGCTAGTAATATTTTTTAATAATAGAATATTTTGACTATGCACAAATAGACTATGTATTGTGCATTTCCTTATTCCATCTTGGGGATTTATTTCCATTCCATCTGGTTATACCTTCTTTCTTACTTATTTGCTTGAGTTGCAAAATGATTATTTTTATAATTAATTGACAAACCAGTTCTGAATTGTTTAGGCATAAAAAATCAACAAGAAAAATAGATGAAACAATCTATATATTAAATGTGTATGTATGCGCAGTGTAATTAAACAACTCTTTCCTTTACGAATATAATAACCACTAATCAACCCATATCAACACGTAAATTTCCTAAAACTATGAAGTTCGATTTGCTCTACAAACATGCTTATAGTTAATGCCAACGATAATGTTGTATAAATTTCATTTTATTAATATGAAGATGTGAGTAGTTTAATTCAAAATTTTAAAATATTACATTTATACATGCGGTGGAACATAAAGGAGAGATGAAGAGATTATGTTTAATAGACATCTGACTCAATTAAGAATATTTTAATTATACATATTTATAATTCATAAGTAGTGAATTTCCTTTCTATTAACATGTTGTAAACTTAAGGCATAATGATCGTCCTCACCACATTCGTAGCAACCGCCACCACCACCTCGGCCACCATGACCACGACCATCACCACGACGGCATCATTGCCGGAGTATCTACCACCTCCACCGCCATTGACTTCACTCTGGGTACACTCCCTAGAAAAGTGGCCACTTTGCTAGGGAGTGTACCCAGAGTGAAGGCTATGACGGCAGAGGTGGTAGATACTCTGACGGTGATGGACGAGGTGGTGGTGGCCGTGGTGGTGGTGGCAGAGATGGTGGTGGTGGCTGCTACAAGTGTGGTGAGGACAATCATTATGCCTGTGAATGCATCAATGGTGGTCATTGATCATGACTTGAAGTCCTGGCTGCTACTAAAAAAAAATAATTGAAGGAATTTTTGTTTATAGAGAAGACTCAGTGAGTGAAAAAAAGAAGAGAAGTGTGATTTATATAGTTGTTTCTCAAAGGGATACATTTAATTTGGTCCATTAATTATTAATTACATTTGGAATGAATTATTGACTAATAGTAAATCCTTAATAAATATAGTCAATACTCTTAAGATTACGTGAATTTTGACTAGGAAAATTCTCTTAAGGTCCACTAAGTAATTTACTTATCAAAAAGAATATTTTTATTAATCATAAGTTTATGATCAATCAACAATATTCGAAGGTAAGTGAATCAGGGAAATTTATTAGTTTAGTTACAACTTAAATAATCTTTGGAAACAATAATTTTTTTAAAAAAATAAGTAAAGGTGACATGTGGTGTAAATGTGTAATTACCTTGTACCTTCGAGTTTTCTTTTCTCCATTTTTTCAATTTCTTGCTTGAATTATTGATATATGACATAAATTAATCTAATGGCTAAGATTTAATTTATCAAAGTAAATCTTTAATCATAATTTATATAATATATACATTACATGCATGTTAGGAAAAACAATTTCTCTTCCCTCTTGTTTATCTTTCACGCAAGATATTTATCTTTCATTCTCATTTTACATTAATTTTGTATCGCATTTTTATTTGAAACTTTCTCTTTAATATTTGCTGAATTTTATATACCTAGGAACATGGGCCCTTTTTGAAAAATAAATAAATTATATTGATACAAAATTAGAAAAGAGTTGGACTTATTTAAATTTGATATAAAGTATTTAATCACTCTAATTTGTACTTTTTTGTGTGTGGTACTTTCTTTTGTATTTGTCGATGTCAGTTAATATGCTTCTCTTTTATATATGGATGTAGGTCAATGTGACTGAATCACATTGAATTTGAAACATTAAAATAGATTTTGAATATGTTAAATCATTGAACGAACTAGTCTTGTGTTCAAGAGATTATATCCTACCTCTGATTATATGATCAATACATAATTAAGGAAAACTAATTACACACGGCTCCCTCATCTTTTGGCTTCCCGATCGAACAATGCAATCAAATAAAATTTTATCCAACTAAGTGTTATACCCCATTTTAATTGGGTCAAATAGTGTACAACATATTGGTGATTCCTAAATAAATTAAATAACTAAAAGATTCGCCAACTAATTAGGGCACCTAATATGATTAAATAATGTCTAAAGTTATCTCAATTTTAAGGTCTTACTAAACATAAGATTCTAGGTAAGGGTTCAATTAATCTAAAGGAAAGGTATTAAGTATCCTTTAAGATCCATTAAAAATGGTTAACCGACTGGACTTGACTAATTATATAGGCTAAGTGTGA